TTTACGCAGAACGGCCCCTTCAACACTACCACCATTATAGTGCCGATGAAACCGTGTCCGTGGATCTGCGAGTTGACCAATGACGCCGGATATGTCGTTTACAGGCGAGTCTCTCTCGGATATATTTATTATCCTTCCGCTTTTCCGTGAGGAAAAATTGTCCGCCCAAATTATTCATTATTCGTCCTCCCTCTCACTCGGCATCGGCTTATTTAATCCTTCGGTGTATACGTCAACCTGAAATTCATGAGTATTCATATTTGTCCCGTCGCTTACCTCATACCGATTGACCTAAAGTGTTACGAACTATTTTTATTAAAATCCTTTACGACTATTTATCTCCGAGGATCTATAGCTTCGAAGCGAGACAAGATCGAGAAAAAGAGAAGAGTAAGAATCGTATCTAACTGAGGAATAGTCCCATTTAACTCTTCTCTTTTTCTCTCAAAGTTCGTTCTGTGATTTTTGCTTTTCTTTTCTTTTCTTTTTTTTTCTCTCTCTTTTTTTCTTTCTTTTCTCTTTTTGACAGATTTTTCGAATCGTCATTTTACAGCGCTCTAGGCTCCTTCTACATACCGATGTTAGTAATGCTCTTTTTCTATTGGAGAATCTACAATGCAGCCGTTTCCACAACGAAAGCCATCAATCAGGGCTTTCGTACCACCAAGGGTTCCAAAATGTTTGGATCCAGGTAAAAATAAAATAAATAAAGAAATAAACAAAATGGTTAACAATTTTTCCCCCGTAGATAGGAGAGAGAATCAATTATTATTAAAGAGGAACCTTGACATTTGTTTATTGTAGATTCGACGAACAGAGATTAACACTGAGGATACATCGAGGACGCGGAAGCGTTCACAACGGTAGTAACAACGGTAGTCCAAGAAGCCCGGATTATTCCACTCGCAGTTCCGTCAGAAAGGAAAAGATCAAGATCTCGGTATCGTATCCGAGTACAGAAACATTAAACACAAAGTGCAACACTCTCGAGAGGACTCCTTCGAGATGTTCTCAAGTTTCCGTGCATTATAGTAACGGACAAACGCAGACTCAGCTCTGTCCGAGTTCTAGGAGTACGCATTTGAAGGTAAGCATTGCGTGGTTGATCCTTGTTTGAACATGAAATAAACGTTAACGAACCAAAAACCGATTTTCTTTTCACTTTGTGTAAAGAAAAGTAGAAGAATAATAGATGTAATAATCGTTAAAATAGAAAGTTATATCTAAGAAATAATATTTAAGTGCGATACGTATACGTCTATGGATAATATTTTCAATGTAATATAGTGGGCGTAGTACTTTTATTTATTACGAAAATTCCTTCGTCGGATGTATAAACGAAGAGTAGCGAAAAAAGTCAGGACGAAGTAATACGCTCTTTGACCTTTGCGATAGGTCGGCGGTATAAACAGAGTAGGCAGTATGAGGAGACCCAGCAGAAGGAGTAGCTGCGAGAGTCAGTTGACGAGTGACGAGGTAACGCTTCGAGAACTAGCTCAGGGCCAAGAGGAGAAGCCTAGGATGATGAAGATGGGTAAACGAAATATAAAGGCACAGGTATCTACGTAGCTTCTTTAATGTTGTAATTACTTGGAAAAGTACTAGTATAATGTATATTAGTCATTATCCAGAGTTATTTATTTTTGCTCGCTTATTTGTTTTTTAATTAATACGAGATGCGGCGGTAGTCGAGAACGTTGGGTTTGGGGGAAAAAAAAAAAAAAAAAAAAAGAAGAAAAAACAGAAAAAGAAAACAAAACATTAAAAATAATCGTAGAGTCTAATGTATGTTTTTATTGAAGCACGAAAAATGTGAGGTTGAAAAAAGCGAAAAGGAAAGACGTCTGTCACAGGTGAAGAGATTCCGAATGGAGACAAAAGCGGCAAAGACCTTGGGTATCATAGTCGGTGGCTTCATACTCTGCTGGCTGCCATTCTTCACGATGTATCTCCTACGTGCATTCTGCTCGAATTGCATCCACCCAACCGTCTTCAGCGTACTATTTTGGCTAGGATATTGCAACTCCGCGATAAATCCTTGCATCTACGCGCTCTTCAGCAAGGACTTTCGCTCGGCCTTCAAGCGAATAATCTGCAGGTGCTTCTGCAAACGGCGAGCCAACACGTTACGGCGCGGTAGCGACGGCAGCCAATTGGCGATGAGGTGGGAGGAACAAAGTTACAAGGCGCGTTTTATTAAAGAGTTGATATCACGCACCCTCGACGTTGAAATCGTGCCCCTACGACATCTCTAACCTCGTCGGCTTCCTTAAAATTAAAGCCGTATATATTAAAGCGCGAAGCTCCAATATTCTTTCAAAATTTCGAACGGAGAAGTGAACAACAATTTGTGACCACAATCGTCTCTCTCTCTCTCTCTCTCTCTCTCTGTCCTTTTTTTACCTCCACCCCTCTCTTTCTCTTTCTCCACGGTTCTATAAAGAAGCGTATACATACACGAGAAACACGATCCAAAATGCTAAAATTGTAAGTGAGAAAAAGAACGCATATCGATGAGTGTACGTATGTGTTTCTCTCTCTCTCTCTCTCTCTCTCTCTCTCTCTCTCTCTCCTTCTCCGATCGATTCTCTCGACTCTCATCGAATAATCTCCACACTCGAAGACGGATTGCGAAAAATGATTTCTCTTTAATCGAGCACGTTCTTTTATTTCGATCCCGCAGAAGCGAGAGAAGTCCAAGTTATACAATGCGTGTGCAGCAGCAGGGCGTTTCCATGGACGACTCCGACCAGGATCCCGGATCAGAACCGACTGTACATTCGACGAGCGAGTCCAGATGACTCTAGCCAGTCGGAGCTGGTGCGCACCGCGTCACCTTTGACCGCAGAACTTCGACGATCAGGATACATTCGTCCTATAGAGCCTGAGACCCTTCTCTTTCTCTTTCTCTCTCTCTCTATCTCTCTTTCTCTCTCTTTCTTTCTATCTCTATCGCTATCATTATTTCTCAATTTCTCTTTCATTCTGTCTCTCTCTCTCTCTCTCGCTCTCTCTCTTTGTCCCAAAAAAAGGATTCGTTTAAACGGAAATTTAAACGATGCGAAGACAACGACGATTGTGGATAAGATAGCAACACAAATAATGCGATAATAATCGACAATTGAATACAACGCGCACGCGCGCGCGTATACGAGTAATTGTTCGAGAGAGTTGGGTATCACGAGAAAGAGGGAGAGAAGAAGTAGTAGATGGAGAAGGAGTTGGAGGAGACGGGGAAGTGGTGTCCTAAAACACGCGTTTACTTTAGATGTCGTAAGTATTATTATAAATGATTATTATATCGTCATCGTAAGTTTTCAAATCGTAAAGAAGGATTCTATGGAGACATTGATAGGTATATAACCGCACATACACGTGTTGTATATATCACAAATGATTTCGTGTATACACGGTGAGATAATGTTAAGTAAGATTAAGCCAAAAGTCGACAGTCGTTAACCTTCTCTACGTCTAAATGGTGTTCGTTGAATCGTGCAAATCGTGTGTTCTCCTCCAGCCGATATATATATACATGCATACATACGTACATACATACATACATGCATACATACAAAACTTACCTTTTCTTTTCTTTTTTCTTTCTTTTCTTGTTCTTTTCTCGTCCAAAACGTTGGAACGTTTTTCGCATCGATAGATATTTCTTTCTTGCGAAGAAGAAGCGAAAAAAAGAAGGAAGAATAAAAGAAAGTCCTCACGCTTAAGAGCAAAATACACTTGCAATTCCTTTCGACCGATTGCGGATTATGCAAAGGGAGAAGAAAAGCGAATAGAAAAGTTAGCAGCGAATATAATATGCGCGATTAATGTATTATGTGATATACCGTATAAATAACGTTACGAACGATTGCAAGTAAACAATGTGAATACGTGCGAATAAAGTTCCGAGTCCATTGATCTTTTACCGTTAGATTTTCTCTTTTTAATTTTCTCCGTACGTCGTCACGAGGGAGATCAAGGTACGTATATATTCACGTATTTGTAACATATGAGAATAACTATTAAAAAGCGACAAATCGATATTTAACGTGTCCCCTGCCATGTGTACCATAGATATGATACTGGCATATTTATTAAATGCATAAAAAACGTTCAAATGGCACGAATGAAAAATGGAGCAAAAATGGCTACGACGATGAACCGTGTTTGGAGTGTTTATCAGCGACTCGACAAAATCTTAATGATTCATTAATATCTTCGATTACAACGTTTAATTTAACGTCTATGAGAAATAATCTAAAAATGCACAAAAAAATACACACCAACGTTATATAATGCAAATGGAAATATTACAGATATATATGTAGAAACATGCAAGTGTGTGTATATTATATTTCGACAGGTGCGCTTGATGCGTTGACGTCGTTCAATTGAATTTGATTCTCTTCCCTGTGCTTCACCTGTAGCTTTCGATATCATAATCGTCACTGTACAACGTCACTGAGCAGAATATCAAACAGATTGATTACTCCGAAAATAATGAAAGTAAAATTGTTACGGGTTCAAGATTTAAAAGATCGTTCAACCTTTCGTTTCGATTTATTTTTAATAATTTTGTTTGTTTTCAGGGAATCAAGCTGTTTTCGATTTAATCGTTTATAACGACACCTGTAGTATTTCCACCGTGAAGCGGGGAAGAGAGAGAGAGAGAGACAGATCGATAATGTTAAACTATTTCCGAGAGTGTTCCATCTCGTTATCGCCAGCGGCTACGCGTTCGCTTCGGTGCCTGGCATTTCCATGTTATTTCAATGTCCAACGATGGCAATAATTATCCATATTGTTCTGTGAAATGTGCGAAACATTATATCGTGCTTATTTCACTTCGGGCGATAGATTCGATATGACGAAAGAGGGTTTAGCCCGCTTTTAATCATCGTATTCGGGTTTCGTTCAATGATCCCTTTTATTTTTTCTTTCTTTTTTTTCCCCCTTTTTCTTCCCCTTCGGAGAAAAAGACTTATTATTAGAAGGAAGACAGAGTGAAAGAAAAATCGTTCGAGGACACAGTTTCGAACATATGTATATATTTGCTAAAGTAAAATTATTCTTAAACATAGTTTATCATTAATTCCAAAATTAATTACAATAATGATTTCGTCGAATTATAAGATCACCGTTACATCGTGATACGATGCGATACTGATCACTTATACAATCGGTTTTTACGGCAGTAAAAAATCGAAGTACCGAGAGTAAAAGTGGTAACCTTCAATGCTGTGCATTCTATTTGAAATTCTAAACAAGTATTATTAGATTTTTCCGTAGAGAGTAGATCTTTTGCATTTCATTTATTTACTTATCTATCCTTTTTTTCTATCCTTTTTTCTATCCTTTCTTTTTAACTTTTCGCTCGTGAAAAAGAAAATAATATCTCTATGGCCTTAGTTATTTCGCTTCCGGTAGATTCGTAGCAAGCACTCTAAACCCATTATGATCGGCAACGTAATGGACTTGTTGCAAAATACCATTGGGATCTATGTAACTGTAAGCACCCCTCGTAGTTCCGTCCAAGGATCTTGACTCCGTTTTTGCACTGGAATCGCCGGTGTAACTGTAATCGTATTGGCCCAAAGAATCCTGAGTATGATGAAGCGAGCTGTGAAGTAACCTGTATGGTAAAACGGGGAATACGTATGGGGCAGGCAATGCCACGGTCCTATGAACGTTTGGCATTTGTAGGAATTTTCCGATCTCCAATGCATTCGGATTATCCGATTCGGATTGTGCTTCGTCCTTCGCCGAGGTGTCCCGAACGTTCAATGAGCTTGGAGACGCTTGAGAGAGCGTTGGATCCGGCTTTGGAACTTGAATGTTGTCGGCTTCCGCTTGAGACAGTAGAAATGGATTTTTCGTGCTCTGTACGGAAAAAGATTTATGCCTATAAATAAATTTCATTCTCTTTTCGTCTAATCGATTATCGAAATAAGCGAAGCTCTTTGTTGTTCTAACTCGAGACATTTTGTTAAACGCACGAAGAACATTTATTTACATTATAAAATATATACGATAAAATATCTATCGTATTCTATTCTACGAGTAGAACTATTTGAGAAACGCTGGTACGGCAGAGACGTATTTTACCTGAATCTCTCGTTCTACGATTTTACTCTCGGACGGTTGTAACTGTGCGTAACTGACATACGGAGGTAAGATCTTATAGGATAGAATATTCTGATCGTTCCAGTTCGGTCGATCGGCCAGCTGCGATTTCTGCAATTCCTCTAAGTGATTTCGCTTGGCTGCTGCTACTTCCGGGGTGTCTTCGATCTGATCATGCTCGTTCTTGGGCGCTTCAGGAAGATTACTCGCGCTAACTCTAAAGCCATTTTGATCGTCCGCGGTATACGAGACGGTTTGTAGAATTCCATTAGCGTCTATGTAGGAATAACCTTAGAAGAAAGGAGAAACGATATCGAACAATTTTCTTATCCGATTAAATAACCAATCGTTCTTTTTCCAACGTTAGTAACAAGTCGATTGCGCGTGCGCACGAATTGATATCTCTTGCATAAGTGTTTATTGCGCCATATCGTCGATGACGAATAATCATTGACGAACGCGTAGGTAGTCTCTCGTCATACTTTCAAATAAGAATGCATTCCTTTAAGGGAACGATTATTCACCTACTATCATCCGGTGACAATTTTTTCTCTCTGCCTCTCCCTCCCCCCTTTCTCTCTCTCTCTCTCTCTCTCTCTCTCCTTTCGACAATTAATTACCTACATCAATGAACTCAAGGACGAATATAATATTTACTTTCGCGCCTTTTATCGATCGTTATACGACGAAAGACGCATATAGAAAATCCATCAATTACCGGGGAAAAAAAAAAATTCGCCAGATACGGCCTACGAACGGACGACTTACCACCCTGAGTGATTCCATTCAGATTAGACTCCGTCTTGGCGTGATGCGGTCCCGTGAATGAATATCGATAGGATCCCGATCCATCTTGCACGTGATATTGTCGTAACGGCGAGATGCTTCCTATGGGACTGACCCAAACATTTGCTATTGGACTGCTTAAGGAAGAACCGAGCAATACGCTGAACAGGATCGTCTGAAAAGCATAAAGAAGAGATCGGCTTAATCGATTAACTGTTAATTGTCACGAAAAGGAAGAAAGTCTTCGTTACGCGCTTTTGTCGACGAAATCGACCTATAGAGATGAAAAGGAGCTAACGAGGAAGTTTAAATACGTGTCGCGTTAAAAAGCGACTAACTCGAAAGTAACTCTACTAAAGATTCATTCGGTCGAAGGATCGAAGTATTCAGTAGCGAACAATGAAAGAGAGAGAGAGAGAGAGAGAGAGAGAGAGAGAGAGAAAGAGAGATGGGACACCCTTAGAAAAGGGCACGTACGAAAATGACAAAAGAAGAGCAGTAAGTATACGATACGAGTTCCTCCGACTTTGGAAACTTCGTCGAGTTGATTTTCGTGAAACAATTAAGACGGTTTCTCTCTTAGCGGTGTTGCAAACAACTTTCCATGAAAGCTAGCTAACTCCGAATTGAACGTACTCGTCTTTTCGTTGGCTTTAATTCGATCGATCGATCGATCGCTCGACCGACCCCTGATATGCAAAGATAATTCAATTTTCCTCCTATAGACAGTCGAAAACAGTATTTTCGACGAGCAAAGTCGTACGAGTTATAGTCAAATACGGAATATCGACTTTTTTTTCTTTCTATTTTTTTTTAACGTCCAAGATGCGTTTTTTTCTTTGTTTCTTTTTTCTACGCTTATCACTCACGCTTATCATGATGAAGTCGTTACTTTTTTTTTTCCCCTCGTTATTATTTACTTCCCCTGTCACTTCTTATTCCTCTTTTCCACGTGTCCGCGTAGAATATAATACCCTGCGGGCTTAGCTAACGTATATGAGAGTGTGAGCTCTCGGTTCCATCCTCTTATATAGGAGGATCCCCAGGTGAATCTCTCTCTCTCCCTCTCTCTCTCTCTCTCTCTCCCCGTCTCTGGTTGCACTGCCCGCAGCAGCACGAGCCACTCGCGATGCCCCACCAGGATGACGTGTACCCGGGCCCTATGAGGGCCCTATGAGGAGGGCCTATACGTTTCTCCCCTCAGGGCCGCCCAAGGCCACAAATCAGCCAGAGTTCGATTTCCAGGCAGATAAATCAATGTTTATAGGTCTACCTATATCGTGGGACGTTGATCCTTTCGATCCTTCGAAAAGCAAATCTCTTTTTTGATCTTTCAGATATTCGTATTGAATATAATAAAAAGATTACAAATAGAAAATGATTATAAGATCGAACTAATGGATGAATCGACATTATAATAATCTCAATTATTCGGATAGATTCGTCGTCGAACGATTTCTTTTCATCGGTCGACTTTGTTATGCGGTCTGTAAATAAATGTATATGAAAGAAGGAAAAGGTATTGAAAAGATAGGTATTGAAATAGTATAGAATAGGATAAAGCATTTCTGGAACGAAAAGGCTAGCGGCATGAAAACGTCGGTGGGGTATTAAATCAGATACTTCCCTTGCCTCTCATGCGTGTATATCCCGTTTCATAGAAGGACTGGGAGAATATCCCGCACGTAGAAAATATTTCCATATCGCGTTGCGTAAATTAGAGGAGGTCGGAATTTTCTCGTTCTTATTGTTAGTACCAGTACGGCACTTAATCCTACGACGTTAAAGCAAGGAAGAGTGAGGGTGTTGGTATAGGATGTAACGAGTTCATCAATTCCATTGGAATTACTCGTATACTCGTGTAGTTGTAACTACAATCGCGGCACGAGTTGAATTTCTTTTCTTTAAAGTTTTTAACGAGCACGTGGGCGAGAGATCGCGTTGGTTTTGACATTGGCACTTAAACGCGACTCCCGTGTCAAGTGATTTCTCGCAAAGGATACGTCTCGTTTATCGGTTTTCCGATAGCCTTCTGGCGGGATTCATTTGGTTCTGATTACGTTTTTTTCTCTACCGAGAGGAATAGAAAAATTCTGACATAATATGGATATAACGAGTATAGCGTATTGAACCTCAGTAATGGTTATTAAAATAAAAAAGAAAGTATTCCGATTGGAAGATATTTCGAGGTAGATCGATCTACCGTGCAGGAACCTGTAGGGAGGACCTTAGAAGGGCTCTCGACGGCTTCTTTATCGTCGATACCGAGGCGAATACTCTCTTCCATCCTCGTAAAATCTTCTTCTTCTTCTTCTTCTTCTTCTTCTTCTTCTTCTTCTTTCTTGTTCCTTAGCCGGTGTGTATGATTCGTGTATAGAGCGAGCAAACGCGCGTCCGCGCTCGCGGATCCTTTAATGTCTTCTTTTTCTCTTGGCGATATATAGACGTATCTTTGTGCGTGAACGCGCACGCGAAAAAGACACGCGCATCGTGAATGTTCGAGGCGGCACGAAAGATCATCCGTTCGGTCCATCGGATGGACCAAGCGAATCGTAGTACCGGAGTACCGGACTTAACCTGAAGAAAAATTGGCGGCTCGCAAAATTACGGTGCTGCCTCGTTAAAGTGTTACATAAATAATATACCGTGACGCTATAATTTATGAAAATGCTCGTACGAAATCTCTCGAGCCCTTCCGCGGACCCTTCGCGTGCCTACGCGCGAAACGTCGCTGTAAATCTGCTTGCACCAGTACGACCTATGGAATTCGATCGATATTTATTCGTTTTCCTTTTTTTTTTTTACACCAACATGTCGGAGAAAAAAGGAAGGAAGGAAGAAAAATAAAGAAAAAAGTCGATTACGAAGGATGAAATTTTTAATCGCTTATGATCTTAATTAAAACGTATCGATAATTAAATTATTCCCTTTTCCTCTTGGAATCGACTCGAAGAGGTTAAATCTTTTATCGAACGGCACGATAAATCGTGAACGAGGAGGAACGATCGAAACGAGTTTGAGAGAATTTATCGAGAATTCGGTGCTCGAAGGCAAAACCATTCTCCTTTTACGGAAACGTGAATTTTTCTTTGGCGTTATCGTGTTCGAGCGTGTTTGAAGGATCGTCGACCCTTTCGAACTACCCTCCCTCTCGATTCTTCTTAACGGAATAAAAAAAAAAAGGAAAAAGAAAAAAAAACGATCGAACGCGAGACACGCGATTTTGTAAGTAAAGTAAATTCGTGAGGGAAAGAATTCGAAATTATCCTAACGGATGAGAATTTATTAACTAATTTAACTTTAGCGTCGAAATCTAATAGCTCTCTCATGCGGGCTCGGTGTATCATCCTCCTCCTCCCCCTCCCACCCAAAGTGAAAACTTCTCCCTATATTACACGCATAGGTATTATACTCGTAGTTGTATTTATTACTACGTACGTACGATTAATCGAATGAAATTACAGAGAGCGTTATTCGAAAGATGGCTACACGTGCGCGTAATTGCGAACGAAGGAAAGAATAAAGGAGTGGGGGTACGATAAATAATATGCTAATTAGCCGGCCCGATCCAAAGACGTTCTCGTCCAAGTGACTCGCGATAAACAGCGTGAATCCACGATTAGTTTTCTGCCTTTCTTCCTTCCTTCCTTCCTTCCTTCCTTCCTTTCTTCTTTCTTTCTTTCTTTCTTCCTCCCTTAGGAAGGCCTCGAACCCGATCGTGAATCACGATTGTTCCGCGAGAGCGTGTACTACAAGGAAGAACTAACATCCGATCGAAGATTACACCGGCTAACTAACGATTCCATTTGCTGATTGCTCGAGAAACTTGCAACGAATGCCTTCGGGAGCTTAACGCGAGCTTTGCGAACCCTTTGTCGAAACGGTCGTGCTTATTTCGACTACTTCGACTACTACGAGACGATGACGACGCGACGTACGGACTAATTAATTAAGATCAATCGAAACTTCGATAAGAAGCTTCCTTGTCCCTTCACTCTCCCTCTCTTTCGATCCTCTTCCCTTTTCTTTTCTCTCTTTTCTCTTTCTCTCTCTCTCTCTCTCTCTCTCTCTCTCGTTAACGTAACGCTAATGAGACGATTTTAAATAGCTGAAGTCCCCGTTTAAATGAACATTATCTTCTTAAGATAATTGATATTCTTTTTAACGTACGGCGTATTAATTTCGCACATTCCTACGTACGTGTAAATTTGAAAAATATTTCATTCGATCGGGAAAACGAGTTATTCAGGTAGAAAAAGTATACGTCTATGATACTTGATACTTTTAGTTATCAAACTATCCTAGGATAACAATATAAAGAGGAAACAAAAGATCTAGATTATCTGAACATATCGATACTGGTATTGAATTTTCATAAAACGTTGCCTGGTCGTATAATACCTCGGTCAGGTTTTCTCCGTTAGGTGCATTTCTGACGTCAACGTAGTCAAAGTTTCGTATAAACTGTGCAAATTTGTGATCTCTATGCAGAGAGGGAGGGAGAGAGAGAGAGAGAGAAAGAGAGATAGGTAAAGAGGAAGAGAAAGAGAGAGAGAGAGAGAGAGAAAGGAGTAGGTAGTCTCGCACCAAGAACGTCGCGGGAATCATTATACTCGTCCTTATCTGCGTCGCATGCGCTAACGCATACGGAGAGTACTGGGTATAACATATGCAGACCTTTTATCAGAAGGACGTTGGACGTTTCTATTATCGCGCGGGAGAATCGTCGTCGTTCCTTTCTACCTTGGTACGTCTAAGCCAAGTCTCCTCGTTTTATCTGGCATGACCGCATAAACAACGGTACTCGCGAGAAAAGAGAGAAAGAGAGAGAGAGAGAGAGCAAACTACGTTGACTTTGCACATCGCGAAACCATGAAAAGCTCTCTCCACTTCCGAAACTTTAACATTTCATTACCTTACTATTTATTTCTATTATATTATACTGTAATATAATGTAATAATGGAATATGGAATATTTAAACGAGAATGTATTCTCTTGTTTTTGCGAGATACTTTTATTTGCTTTTAGATGATTAGAAAGGATCAAGGTTGACATAGGAGAGGCGAATTACAGCCGTCGTAGTCGGCATAATCTACCGATCCGTGGTACAATCCACGCTGGACTGTTTCACCGAGCCATCCGTTATGGACACCCACACGCCATAGTGCAAGCATATGCAACTTGCGCGAAAATAAGAAGGTTGAGGCCTTCCTTGGTGACTCGTGAAACGAGTATCCTCCGGTAAAAAGAGAAGGAAAGAGAGAGAGAGAGAGAGAGAAAGAGAACGAATGGTATGCCAGGTGGAGGCGAACTTTAGACGCGTATTAGGAGATATTCCACGGAGCTCTCGAAGCTCTACGCGCGTCTAATCTTAGCTTCCTTGGGTTCGACGACCCGATAGGACACTTGTCGCAACTGTCCGACTCGGAGATTAGATCGATCCGACAAAAGGTCTAAGGCTCGGGGAGTACGACGAGGAAACCGGATAAATCGATTCTTTACGAGCGTCCCTAAGAGAAATATGGCGAACAACTTACCGAGAAAAAGGGAGAACGATATTATTCGACTTTGATATCCATTTTCTTCGATTATTATCACTCCGCGTAAATTCATTCCTTCGTATATTTACGTGATATAACGATTATGTATACGAGCAATATAATATTATTTCGTAAATTTATTCACGCTCGTTAGAATAAATTACGAGAAGACGATTAATTAAATGCGATATTTTGTAATTATCAAAAGCGTAAAAACAAGAAACAACAAAAAAAAAAAAAAGAAAGAAAAGAGAAGGAAACAAAACAAAAAGTTGGGGAAAAATGTGGGTATTATTGTGAAGTAAAGCGAAGGTCGACTACGTTCGAAGTTTCGAGGCCACTCGAAATCTTGGCTCTCCACCTGCTGCCGGACACGAACACGCCTATGCCTTCTTCCTTTACATACATCTTCCGCGTCGTTATCGAGAAAGAGAATAAAGAGACCGCTCGTTTAACTTCATTTAAATTCTACAAAGTCGCTTTCGATCTGATATAGCTGAGAAAGAGTGAAAGACAGAAGCGAGAACGACTCGTCAAATTAAGATCGAGGTCGGCGACTGTCATAAGAGATTTCCGACATTTCGGGTTCTCGGGGTAATCGAGACGACTATTATAGCACGGATACGATTGATTATAAACGGTCGTCTCTCAGAATTAGATGTCCTCGAAGTCAGATTACATTTTTCATAGCCATATGTATATATATATATATATATATATATATATATATATATATATATATACACATATATATTCGATCGTCATGTAAAAGAACGTTAAGTAGAATGTTAATGAGAATCGAAGTGATTTTATTTATCGAGCGATCGCGAAGCTTTAACAATGATCCGATGACATCGACATGTGTTAAATAATACATCTGTACGTATGTATGCATGCATGCGTGTGTGTATGTATATATATATATGTATATGTATGTGTGTGTGTGTATGTACGTAGTTAGTAGAAATATAAATGAGCATTAGAGGAAAGAACGAACTATCGATCGATCGAAACTCTCCACCCTCCCTTCTCCCTTCTCTCTCTTTCCCCCGATCTCCGCGACGTTACGACGATCCTAGAAAAGCACTTCGATCGATAAAATAAATAGAAAGAGATTCCCAAAGAGCAGTTTTGAAAGAAATGAAAAGACGATATTTAAAAGTGTCGCGCGATTTACGAGGATCCTATTGCTTCGTCTTGACTCTTTTCTTTATTGATATCCTCTCGTAAATTCTCCGAATCGTCGGCGCTTTCGATTCTTTGACTCGAATGAATCTGCGTACGATATTGCGATGATCTCGCGATAGGGATCGCATGATAAAGGGCAGGCAACTCGTAAATACTTGGAATCTCGTGCTTGTCACTTAGGTGAATCTGCGTGACGCTTTGAGAGGAAACGGCCGTGAGAAGGGAAGGTCGATGCTCCAGGATCGCGACCGGCTCAGAAACGAGCGGACGAACTTCAGCGAGTACCGGCGTTTCGATCTTGACAGCGTCCTTGCGTCCCTCCTCTCCCTCCAATCCGAGATTTCTATGGATCTTTATACGATTTTGATGATAATCGTTGTCGGTTAGCAAGGCTACCGATCCATCGGATATGATCAATGGAGTTTTGATCACCTCCGATTTAATGGGATCGATAAGAGGTAAAACGGGGGTAGCAGCCTCGACGGTGACTGCATTGGCAATCGGATCGACACCTTCCGTACGAACGTCCTGATGAATCCTAACTTGACTCTGATGAGACGTTGCCGTTGCTAAAGATCCTGGAAGTAGAAAAGTTGCCAACGCTCCGTAGGGTTTATCGTTCGAATAATCCTCTTGCTTGTTGCTCTTCGAATCTTCTTCCCGATGTTCTTTTTTCGTCTCTTCGGTTAAGCTACGCTTTCGACGAGCGCTCGAAGATTGCTCCGACGAGGTGGCTCTTGCCTGTTCCTCGAATAGTGCCCTCTTAGCTAAAAGAACCTCTGCCGTTTCAACGGGCAGATCGCTATCCGTCGGTAGATTCGTCGCCGCAACCCGGAAGCCACCCTCGTCGGCGACGTAGAAAACTGACTGTAAGATACCGTGAGCGTCGACGTAGCTGTAAGATCCTCTCGTGACTCCATCGGGACCTTTGACTTCCTCCTTTGCCGAGGGTCCACCGGAGTAACTGTACGCGTGCTCCCCGGTTCTCGTGTTCTGAGACTGATGGTACACCGGAAGTGGATCCGCCAGATAGGCGTACGGCACTAGAGTCAGCTGCGAGCACGAGGCCACGCTCAGAATCGCCAGAAGTACTATCTGAAAATGTATTCTCACTTTACTTACTTTCTTCGATCTCGAAAACGCTAGAATAATAGATGATACTCGATAAGACTTTCTCAACTTTATTTAAAAGCACACTATTAATTTTAATAATACGTTTGAGACCTTTTAAAAAACATTGCTTCGATTTACTCGTGAGGATTTAAGTATGGATTTATCTCTCTCTCTCTCTCTCTCTCTCTCTCTCTCTCTCTCTCTCTCTCTTTTTCTCTACAACATCGATTGCGAATGAGAACAGATTTATTTGCTCGCTCAGTGAATTTTTCTCTTTTCTCGCAAAAAGAAGAAATTTCTAGAGTGTCGTCGAGTCGTGCTCAGCTTTTTAGAATTCCTTTCGTGGAGAGGTCCAAGAGACACTTTCGGATTCAAGCTGGGTAGGTAGCCCAAAGAGAGAAAAAGAAAAAGAAAGAGAGAGAGAGAGAGAGAGAGAGAGAGAGAGAGAGAAAAGCGAATTTTAGGTCCGAGCGTTGACAGTACCGAGGGGGCTACTCTTTCCCTTGAACGCATGCCGCTTGGGGTGAGTTTATACTTGCATGAGTCTCCAGAGATTCAACTCTCTTTACGACCCAATAAGACTCGTATAAATGTTCTCGGACCGAGAAAAAGATAAAGAAAAAGGAAAAGAGGAAAAAGGGAAAATATCGAGAAACGATCTTCTTACAAATCGAATGCGATTCAATAACGATCTATAAAGAGATCCCTTTTAACGATCAATAAAAAAGTGTTAAAAAAACACGTGATCCAATGAAATATTGTATATATCTTATACACTATTATCTATCCCTTCGCTCGATCTATTAATTCCATAACAGGAAAATATCGAGAGAGAGAGAGAGAGAGAGAGGCGAAATATTCTGTGAATTTGAGGGAAATTAGAATGGGGAATAAGATAGATAGGTAGATAGATGGATAGAGAGAGAGAGAGAGAGAGAGAGAGAGAGACAGGGACAGACGTAATCAGCGGTCGAAGTTTCACGATCCCCATGTACTCATATTTACACATTGCGGATGGCCGCACTCGTGATTGGAATAGCCGATGTTTGGTCGTCTGGATTTTGCCACGATTTACAGTTTATCCCCGTCGTATTTACTTGATCATATATGTAGACTCATAGTTGAAATACGACGATATTTATATACGACTGATGTTACCTCGACTTTCCTAATTGCTAAAATGTAGTTTCGTCTAATTAAAAGTTGTTGATTTATGATACGAAAGTCTTGGCGGAAATTTTGGAAAAAGCAGTCACAGAAATTTTCAAATACTCGCTTGAAATTGAATAACTTTTCTTAAAGTAACATAAGTCTAGTTTAAAACTAATTTAGAGGATCGTTCCGGAGAAGAAAGTCAGTGAAAAGATCAAAGGACTCACCATTGGTTGCATCTTGTAACAAAATCGGCTTCTCTTCCAACCTCCTTCTTCGACGAAGGACTGTTCGGATTATGCACCTTGCTTTCGATCTCGATTTGACTTATATACGTTGTCGAGACAAGAAGAAGTCGAGTACGATGACTTTGAACCAGGAACCAGGGGTATCCTCAGTCGAAGGACAAAAGCGAACGAGATCCGTTCACCGAATTCTTCCTTCTCGGTATCCCTCTCCATCCGGGATCGAAGATTCTGTCTCTTTCTCCCTTCCTCCCCTCTCCCCTCACACTCTCTCTCTCTCTCTCTCTCGCCAGACTGGCGTATAGATTTTCTTTGTCGCCTTTTGCCGGCAGTCAAACGGAGAAATAAGACGAAGACGAAGACGAAGACGAAGACGAAGACGAAGACGAAGACGACGACGAAAAAGAAGAAGAAGAAGAAGAAGAAGAAGAAGAAGAAGAAAGATAAAAGCAAGAGCAAGAACATTTCTACTAATAGTAGCTATATAATACACTCGATACTAAATTAATGTTATCACATTAACTTGTATTCCCTCTCGAAATAGCAAGCAACAATAATGACGATTAAAATGGCGATAAAGGGAGCCTAATGAAGGTATTACGAAGTTATAATTACGCTTCGGATCGATAATGGTTAAACGGAGCCACGCGAGTTATCCTATTATATAATTTATCACATCCTTCCGAAACTTTCTATTAAGAGTTAAGATAGATATTAATTATCTTGACGAGATTGTTCGTTTAATTGATATTAACGTTGAACATTACCAAAAATTTTCTACGTCGTGTTTTATTCGCGATATTTCTTTAACTTTCTTCTTTTTTCTTTTACAAGATAATCATTTATTTGGGTTTTAAAGCGCTCGGCTATCATGTTAAACCGCAAACCGGAGAAAAAGAAGGACATAGTCTGATCTTTTTCTCGAGTTCCTTTACTCTACCAGCTTTCCCGAGGTCGTTCGGTATGACTTTTGCTAACGACGAGTATAAGGGATTTTTTATTTTATTTTCCTTCATTGTAAAGCCGCACGTAGGTAAGTACTTACATACTTACATACTTACATACGTCTACCTTTCATGGGCCACCAACGGTGCCATTAACGTTTCCAAAAGTTGCTATACATACGTAACTATAAAATCCAAATGCAAATGAGAATGTTAAAATATCGGACGAAACAACTCTTCTCTATCCGTTCTTTTCTTTTTTATTTTCATTTCAAGAAAATAGATTTAAAGAAATTTGTACTTAAATCGAAGAATGTGGCCGATGGATAAACGTACATTTTCGAATATAAAAATGATCGAACCGGACCAGACCGAAAAGAGAAAGAAGAAGATAATTCGTTCGTCCTTGATAGAAGTACGTATACATACTGTACGTCTTTGCACAAATTGAAATCAGTTAGCTACATTCTTTTCTTTTCTTTTCTTTTCTTTTTCCCCCTCAATACCAAACCAATAGCAAACGGACGAATATCTTTCGTCCTAAACGTAATAAAATCACGCGTCCCTCGTCCTTGGCGTTATTCACTGTACCTGACCCGGACATAACACTTGTACTTCGCGATGCAAGGTACTTTCTTACCCGCAAATAGTATATAATGCCGATCTCTGTGTAAAGTACGCTTGGGGGCGTGACCAATCTTCTAGCGAATTAAAGCCGAATTGATATTTATCTTTAGCCGAACATTTACCTATGAGATTCTTGGATCTTCGCTTTCGATACTACAAGGGTATACCTTTCTCGATAGTAACTACGACGTTGATTTTTATGAGGGCGTTTAATGATTCCGTCGAAGGTCATCGAACTCGTAAAAAAGAAAATCCAAGAGTTCGTTTAGCGAGCGTGCTAGTGGATTCGATCCTTTAAAGGGTATCTTTACAGGGTCATTCGTCGTTGGAAAAGCTCGTGAACGCGAGCAGGAGTGTGTAGGTGGAGACAATCGGCCGTGTATCTCGTTCATACCCTTTCTCTCTCTCTCTCTCTCTCTCTCTCTTGCGAGAAGGAGCAGCAGCGAATCCGAAGCCATCTCACGGATGTCTATTTGTTTTCGCGCTACCAACGACTGGACAACGTGCACGTACTACGTGGGAAGGGCTCGTGAGATGGCTCGTAGGCGAGGATAGCCGAGTCAAAAGCGTGGATAATCAGAGAATAGAATAACGTCGACGCTTTGAAAAAGAGGGTGTGGATATAAGAAAGATTAAAGAACTGCTAGGCGTGAATTAATGATAATGCCCTTAGGAACAAGACCAAAATCTATTGTTAGTTCAAGGGAATTCTATATAAGTATCTCGGAAGAAAATGATCAATTGTTATCTCGACAATTTTTGTCATCTTCGAAATTTTGTCAAAAACCGATGACGAGAGAAGAAAAAGTGAAAAAAAAAAAAAAAAAAAGGGAAGGTTCCATTCAAGGACACAGCCATCTTTCTCCCTTATCCGTGGTATCCGAGAACGTAAGAATGTCCATCCTGGTAGGAAGATGCAAGGACAGTAAAATGATTCGATTTAAAAATCGCGAAGAGGTCTAGCGGAGCACACCCACGTCCGCACCGTAGATCCGGTCACATATTTGTGGAGGTCGCCTTATGTCGTAAACAACGCGAACGTAATGCTGTCCAGTCGAGAGACCACACCCGGCGTACATACGAGCACATAAACACCGAAGAACCCTATCGTAACTGGTCGTTTCGAGCGTCCGAGCTCGGCTTCGCATCGCTCGTCTTTCTTATATTTGAACCAGCGGGGTGGAAATGAAACAGGTACGTGAAAAATGATTATGAGAGAGAAAGAGAAAGAGAAAGAGAGAGTGAGGGATAATTATATCTTTTTTCTCTTTTCTTTTTTTTTTTCTTTTTCCTTTGCAATCAGTTAATTTATACACATGTACATTTTTCATTTCTTTTTCTTTCTTTTTCATCGACTTCTTCGTCGGTTCATTGCCTTTTTATTGAATCGAGGAATATACCAGGCACTTATATTATTATACTTTCCGTGTAACAAGCTTCTTCAGTCTTCAGGATCGATCATTATCGTAAGAACGTCATTCTGCCTGACGACCGTCAGTTTTAATGGACCGCAGCTTTCCAACGCTTTGTATATATTAACAGCGGCTAATACTGGTTCTTCGTTGACGTGCGTAATTATATCTCCCGCTTGCAAACCGCCACTAAGTCGGAAGAAAAAAAAAAAGGAATGTATAAATATTAAGGATAATGAGGGGCGATAAATAATAGGATATCAGATTTTTAAATACTCACCTGTAAGCGGGAGAGCCAACGATTACTCTCCAAACAAATACTCCGTGTTTGATTATGTCTAAAGTAGAGCCCCTTTTATGTTGTAATTCGAAGAGAATGTCTGGAGTAATAGTTAACATCGTTATACCCATGTACCTTCTTTTGGGTGCTTCCATCGTATCAGGAATGTTACCTTTAATGGAACATAATTATGGAACGTTGGATTATTACCATCAACTTAATTAAATTACCTTTGTTTTTTCTACGTATTTCAGCTTTTCTCAAAAACTCTTTCGCATAATCTATAGGTATAGCGAAAGAAATACCAGCGGTAACTTTCATGGCATTTATACCAATCGCTTCGCCGTTTAAGTTCACTAATGGACCACCAGAATTTCCAAACTAGAAATAAACATAACTTTTTATTATTATAAGAATGTCAAATATTTAATTGTTTTTATTCTTTTAATCGTTACTAAACGGTAATAGCAGCATCGGTCTGAATATACGTCAGGTTCTTATCAAGACCAAGTTCTTCGCTTGGTCTATTTGTACTGCTCACTATTCCGCTAGTTATTGTGTTACTCAACGACAAAGGGGAACCAATAGCGATTACAAATTCTCCTGGCCTAATATCGGCTGAATTTCCAAGTTTCATCACTGGCAAATTTGTCTGCAAATACAAACGATGTATTATTTATGCTATATATACATATATATATATATATATATATATATATAAGAGCAGTTATCGCCATGCCCAATAAATAAGGGATTGATTTCTAATAAAAGAGAACAAATTTGTACCTTTTTAATTCTTACAGTCGCAAGATCACTTTGCATGTCGACGTCCTCTATTACGCCAGTATATACAGTTCCATCGTGTAGACGAACCTTAAATGTATTTACATGTACGACAAAGGCATTTTTAGAAGATAATCTTTAGTGGTAAAACGACGTAATATTGTATCTACCTTTACTGAGGTACCACGTTTTTTAATGACAACATGAGCATTGGTTAATATCAAACCATCGGAAGCAACAATAAATCCACAGCCGTTACTAGCTGTGATAGGTCTCCCTGTGAACATATCTAATCTATTTTTAAATTAATTATTATAAAATTATTTTAATGGAATATACGAGCCGACGCGCAATTGTACGTAAAAAAGAATAATATAAATGACGATAAACGACGAACGTGTGATGTCGTTTACTTACTTTTTTTCATCTTTGATCTCTATGTATACCACCGAGGGTGCTGATACCGCCACTACGTCCGCTATAAAATTATATTTCTCTCTATAATCCACAAGGCTCGGTGTAAAGATTGTCGCAGACTTGACGACGGGCATCCCGTAGGTGAAGTCCCTGAATCGTTCGTAGATATCATTTCTTTTTTTGTACAAGAAATAACCGATCCCCGAAATGACTAACGTATAGGTTAGAAAATGTTTTCCACTTCTGCCATATATTCTGTTATCTCGTCGGCACAAATGTTTACTTCTTACTTGAGTGAACCGATCCGCATTAAGCGAAACGACAGATCGCATATGTGACAAGCAATCATTTTTAAAAATACTAAAACAGGCGCGCGACAGGAGAACAGTCATTTTTAAATTTATTACTCAAAATTAAAGTAGTTTTACGTATATATTACTGGAGGCGCGTGTGACTTTAGCGACAGACATGGACAAAATATGAACTAAAACTAAATGAGTCTATCCTATCGGTATATAAGCTTTCGTATAGGTTATAAACCTCTCGCGCTAAATCTAACATTTGGATTGTCGTGTAACAGAAATTTTCCTTTCCAATGATACTTATCCATACACTGGTAAAACTTATTTAAGCAGTCATTGGACTTGATAATATTTGCGATATCATGAAAAAAAAAGCACGACGATATACATTATGAATGAAATTAAAATTCCGATGTCAGTTCGAGAATCCAAGTGACTGAAAAAGAAAAGAAGAGATCTACCCATCCAAGAGTTGTAAAGTTAATTATTTTCATATAAGAAAAATCTTATAAAATGCATTGAAATATTTCAAGTTAAAATAATTACAAACGAATAATGAGAAACGAGTAAGATCCTAATAAATAAATGCACGTATTATAAATCAAAATTTATACGAGTAAATCTTTGAAGAAAAGTTACTCGTGCTCGATCACGAGTCCTCGTTTATAAATTAATTACGAATCTATAATTCGTATCAAATCGGATCTTTCATTCTCAATATGATTGATTTGATCGAAGGGATTTAAAAATTCATTCGCCATTTAAGACATTCTGCGATGGCCATCAGAAGATTCATTGAACGATGCAGGTTGAAATTTAGAGATGATTTTTTTTCCCCTTTCAAATGATAAAGTAGAAACCGTTGAATCTTCTGTAGGTAAAAATTGTCGGTAATATGTAAATTTTATTACCGACAATGAAACATTTTCAACAAAGCATGGATTTACGCGTAATCACATTTCTACAGAGAACTGTATCGAAGATGTCAGCACTTAATCTTTTTTAATTTTTCTCGAAAGAATATCTAACGGTTAACGTTTAACATCGTTGGATAATCGTCGTGATTAGAAAATAAAAATGAAAGCGAGATTATTCGTATTATATAATAAGGTAAGTTAATCGTTGAATTAATTGTCGAATAATTATCAAGACGTAACATCTTGCCTTAATCGATATAACACCGCGAGGTTTTCCCATCGTGATCTCAAGTTCAGCATCATCCTAACCCTTCAATTTAAAGTACTATTCTTTGCGAATGATTTGAAGCATAACGAAATCGAATAAGATTTATAAGAGATATTTATCGAGTATCCTTGGTTATTGGTTGTAAATCATAGATTATTTTTTCCGTCAGGAGATCCTTCCATTTAACGGTAGTCTCGTGATAAAATAGCTTGACGTATATAGACCAGAGACGACGGTCGAATTACGTCGCACGGATAATCCGGGTGAAACGCTTACCTCTCTTCGGGCAAAAGTGCGAGGGGTTTACGACAGAGAGAGAGAGAGAGAGAGAGAGAGAGTGAGAGGCGGCATAGGGGGGGAGAGAAAGAGAGAGGGAGGAACGCTTAATTGGCCCCGGGTAATTATTTTATTAAGTGAGAAGATGGCGGATGGAATGCTAAGAGAGAGAGGAGTACGTTGGTGCGGTCTGCCGGTATGGAAGAGAGGGCGTGTTGCTGCTTCGCGGTGGAAGGGAAACCAAGAGAGATAGAATCGGTTGAGTTGGAATGAGACCGAAGGTTTTGTAGTGGGGAAAGAGAGGGTGGTGCGGCGGCAAGTGACGGCGTTTAAATACCTACGTACCACAGAGTAGACGGGAATACCGCGGCACTGAGTTTTCCGTGTACGTGAACGCATTCGCAACGTATCAGGGTGTTCGCGTTTCTCTCACCGTCGCACATGAAATACGTATACGTTGTTGTCGTGAAGGGGTAGGCGGGTAGGCGATCGCGCGCGCACCAGCTCACTCATATGTATATGCGTGCATGTATATATACTTCTCGTATGGCTGAGTGTAGGCGCGCGAGCGACCGAGCTTTTGCCAGAGCATCGAGACGACGAGAGAGGACGATGGAAAATTGTCCTGGCTAAAGAAAGACAGGAATAGGGATAGAAAGCGAGCATGAGAGAGAGAGAGAGAGAGAGAGAGAGAGACAGATAGATAGAGAGAAGAAAGTCAGAGGGAGAAGTACAGTACGATGGAGATAAATAGATGGACGAAGAGATAGAAGAGGAGGAGAAGGAGGTAGCTTTCTCTCGGTCGCGAAGGAGGAACATCTATTACCCGGTACATAGGCCAGCGTGGCGGGGATATCGTCGAGGGTAGAGGGGTGCGGGCAAGAGTAGTCGAGCGGCAAATTGTCCGCCATCTTACCCACCTTATACCTTATCTCACACCCTCGCCGTAACCACCCTTACTCCAGATCCCACCACTACCACGCTTTTCTCTCTCTTTCTTTCTCTCTCTCTCTCTCTCTCTCTCTCTCTCTCTATCTATCTATCTATCTATCTACCTACCTTTCTCTGTTCCTCTCCTTCCACACCCATTCAACCCCCTCGCGAGCTCCTTTCACGTTCAGCTCCTTTCTCCGACGCGCCTTCGCCTCGAAAGCTTTAGATTACCTACCCCTTATAAGCGCTCGTGTTGCCCATTTATTACCGCGACTCTTGCTAGACTACTACCAACGATAGTACGACCACATTCGCGATATCTCTTTCTTACAATGTCAAGCAAAAGTCTTCTTTTTTCTTTCTCTGTATCTTCTCTTCGACGTATGCGTCTACCTGCATACGTATGTTACTATTCGTGCGTATTCTACGTATATATGTATGTGGAGATAGGTACATAGCTATCTCCTCTTCTCTATTCGTCTCTCTATGTGATACATCAGCGATGAGCGTA